TCATCGCTTCACTAATGCATTTTTATCAAGAATGGTTGAAAGGGCTTCGTGCTACAAACGCTACTAAACTAACCATTTCATACACTACAAATGTAAATATTATTGTAGCAGCATTCGCCTTTAATTTCACTCTCCCACAGCTCTTTTTTCCACTCTAGACCCCTTTATCACTATCGTGTCATGCCTCATTTTCTCTCGATACCCCAGTTTTCTACATTTTCACCAACATTCATGTTACTTCAATGTCAGAATACGCACACACGATGTCCTACATAGAAGGATTCTCATGAGTCTATCAGTGTCATATCATTTCTAATCTGTACATTAGACATGGCCTCATTTGTCTACCTACTTCTACTTTTAAACAATCAATTTGTAAACTAGGATTTCATTTATTTCACTCATATCAGTAAAATAAGAACTACGTATTGTCATCAATACTATAAATCAATTTGAAATTCTTTTTTCATTTCTTTCTTCATTTTTCCCCGTATTTTCCTCGAGAATTAGATTTCTTTCTTTTGACGTTACGCATTTGAAAGGTGGTCGCGGTAATTCGCCCTTCTTGTAAGAGATATATTATTTTTCTACAGAGCTTTATGCTTGGACATGCATATATCATTTTTTATAAAAAAAAACAAACCAGCCTTGATTTCCACTCATTTATATTTAAGAAATGCTATCTGGAAGAATTCAAAACTCAACAAACCTTTATTTACTTCTAGCAGACTTTGAGTATTTTTTAAAGACACTCAGAATTATTTAGATTTGGTAGTGAGTAAGCTCGAGACAAAGAAGAAGCCCCATGGATCATCTGTATTATTATGTAATACATGAATTTGACCGTTGTTGAATAATTTTAATTCCAGCGATAATAATGAAAAACGGAAGTAGCTCGAAATTTATCTATAACTTATACTCCAAGCTTAAATTTCGGATTGATTGTGTTGGTGAAAATCAAGCGCTAATGCAATGCTCCTGATCCATTCCATCTCTGACCGTTTTCTCTTTGAACGATAGAGCCGAACTGATACTTACTCAAAAAAGAAATAAATCTTTATATGCATTAAAAAAGATCCATCATACGAGGCCAGCGACATAACTTTGAAAGAATCTCTAGTCACGCAATTTATCTTACCCTCATAAATCGAATTTATATTGAACTTTAGAAGGAAAAAAGGCAAGGTAGTTTTTCAGGCATTAAATAGTATAGTGCAAAAATGCTTGCATTCCTCTTAGACTAATTTATTTATAAGGCTTTTTCTGCAAATATTCATTAGGGTTTGCTAATGATTGCGATTTTTTGTTAACATTATTTTTTAACCCATGCGTAATGCTACTCGACACATGATTAGCACTTTTGAAGTCAGATTTCCGTAATGAGTCACATCTTTGGAAGCAAAGCCTCTTTCAATTTTTGCCATAAGGAGTCAAGGCCGATTGTAGCGCAGCTGACCTTTACTGACATGAATTTCTGCTCTGTCAGTGATAGTATACGGTCTTAAAGTCTCTCACATCCCAAAACATTTCCCTATGTTTTCATTGCTTTTCCTAGACTTTGCTGGTCTCCTTCCCTGACTTTAAAATTCTCTAAATATATTTCCAAAGAAAGTAAAGATACTCAGATTTTTTTCTGCATGATAAGAAGTGGCGACTTTCTGAACTTTTTGAAATAATGTTGTGAATTTGTTCTTTTCTTGCAAGTAGTCTTTTGCTGCCGTATACTCCTGACCTAATTTGTCAAATCGAATCATTGCCATTTGCAAATCTTGTGGAACCATCTTTACATTCACTCTTTACTATGATTTCTTCATAGATCCTCTTATTCGTTTAAGAAAACAACTTGTTGTCTTTCAGAATTACCTATGAGGGTTC